CGATCCTCAAATAAAAGATGATTGGACAATCAAAATCACCAAAGATTTTGTCAGCAGAGGGGAACCAATACCATGAAAGAAAAGCACCAAACACAACTAACAAAGAAGTAATATCAGAGGAAACTAAGTTAATAAAGAAAACAGAAGATAAAATTTAAATAAATTTAAATTTTATTCAGCAAGATTTGAAAGGATATTGTATCCAAGAAAAATAATCAGTGAGAAAACGTAGAGATTTAAAAAGTAGTTTCTGAAGTTTAATATTCATTAGCTGATGAGCAGAACTGATCAAGTTAAGAGCAGATTAGTGGAAACAGAAATTCTCCCCAAACACAGGGCAAAAAACAAGGAGATGGAAAGTTTGTGAGAATGGTTGAAAGTCATGGAGGTGAGATCCTCAAGTTCCAATATCTGTTCCAATAGAAGTTACCAAAGGAGAGAAAAGAGAGAGCAGATGAGATGATAATAAGGAGAAAGTAGAATAAAATTTCTCAGAGTTGAAGAAAAATATGCATTTTCAGATTCAATAGAAGCAGTTTAAAGCAGGATAAAGATTTTAAAATACAGTTTACAGTTTTATGTACAGTTTAAAGCTTATGATTTGATTCTAAGACCCAAGAACTTGAAAAAATTAAATCATAAACCAAAAATAGAGACTAGACTAGCTTCCTGTGCCTTGAATTAAATTAATCCTACAAACTATTTTTACTGAATCACAGAACCAGTTATTTGTTTGAAATTCTAAGACTACTGTGATGTAGAAATGAACATGTATCAGAAAGCTACTTAAAAACAGAGATACCAAACCAAATAAACCCAGCCCTACCCAATGCTCCCCTCATTCAAATGTCTGCTAACAATGGAAAAATCGAGAACTCATGGTTATGAACAGAAAACTTTGAAATAGTGCCTAGAGCTCAAAAAACATTAGTTCCCTTCATCTTTACCTTGTCACCAAGAGATGCATTTCATAAAACTAAACTGAAATTTCTGTTCCATTTCTGGGAACATCTAGGGGAACCACAGTCTCCACAACTTCCAAAGACAAAGCAGCAGGAGGACCCATTTGAAAAGCCCACCATTTACAATATAGAGGCATTGAGGACAAAGGAATAAACTTCACCTTCAGATGCCTCAAACAGAATGGTCCTTGCAAGGAATCTGAAAACTGGCAGTGAGTGTGTAAATACCAAACTGACCTCCCTATAAGGGAGCAAGTGACATCAATTTCAAATTTCCATCCACCGATAATGGAAAGGAGCAGAAGAGCAAGACTTACATCCTGTCATCCACCAGTGCATGGAAGCACTAACCAGGCTTTGGAATAAATGGGCATCTTTCCTTCTATAGCTGTGCCTGAGCTTTCCAGGATTAGATTTTCCATTACCTAAGAGATGTGAGCTCGTGCAGATGTAATAGCAGGCTTATACTGGGGTGTGATGATAAACTGGTGTCTGGAGGCGCTTATGTTCTGCTGCAGTTGCCTTGTTCAGGCTGTATTAGTTTGCGTGGGCTTCCATGACAAATACCACAGACTGGGTGACTTAAACAACAAAATTAGTTTTCTCACAATTCTGGAGGCTAGAAGTCCCGAGATCAAGTTACCGGCAGGGTTGTTTCTTCTGAGGCCCCTCTCTTTGGCTTATAGGTGGCCATATTTTCCCTCTGTCTTCACATGGTCTTTCCTTTGTGTGTCTGTGTCCTAATCTCCGCTTGTGAAGACACTAGTCATATTGGATTAGGGCCAGCCACATGATTTCATTTTACCTTAATTACCTCTTTAAAGGCTCTCTCTCCAAATCTGGTCACTTTCCGAGGTACTTGGGGCTAGCATTTTAACATATGAATTTGGAGGGCAGGCCACAATTCAGTCCATAACCCAGGCCTCATCTTTTCTCACATGAATTGCTTCTTATAAATCTCCTAACTGCTGTCCCATTCTCCAGTTTCACTCTCCTTCAATTCTTCCTCCACATAGTAGCCAAAGTACACTTTCTAAAAAAGAAATCTGATCATGTCACTCCACTACTTTAAATCATCCAATGGCTCCCTGTTGCTTTCGGGATACAGTTTTAAGTTTCCCAGCACTTAGCGCAGCCCCTGACACACAAGATGTACTTAATAAAGGCCTGACGAGTAAGTGAGTTAATAAGTGAATTAATGAACAAATAAATCATGCAAACTAAAAGGGAGTTGCAGTTCTGGAGGCCAACCAAAGAAGTAGGTAATTGAAAGTCATTTCTAGTTGGCTTAAAAATATATATTTGTGATTTTTTTCAGGAGAATCACTTTCCTATTTATGTTTGAGTAAATTTATTTAAATAAATTCACATTCCCGGAGACATAATTGGCAATATTCGTGTCTGAATTTCACCAGCTCCTCGGCCACCTTGGCACATTCATACATAACTTACTGTCTGTGGATGAGAAATGAAGTCAATTAAGTAGGTTTTATGTTCACACCCACTATCAAGTTCACCTGCCGTCTTCCAATGTTTCATTCATAATGAGGTACAGCAAATACAATAGTGATGGTTCAGCTCTGTGGACTTTGTCTCTGTTTGCTCCACCCTCTCAGTGCCGTTTTCAGACTTCATCCTGGGGCAGTGGCCCGACTCCAAACCCCACGCTCCAGTATGCCAAAGCCTTGAGCACGTAGGATTAAGAACGTAGGAAGGTGGATCAAAAAGCATTACAAGCAGTGAGTTGGTGTTGCCATTAACACTCTGTCTTGAGTACTCCACAGAGTGGATTGTCTATATGTGAATAATCAAAAGTGCCTAAACCTGAAACCTTTGTTCTCTTCTTTTATAAATATTTATCAAGCCAGGAACTCAAATCAAGGAGAGAAAATATAATTTAAAACTCGAGTTTGTTAACAAGGAATGACAGCTAGAGTGCTAACAATTCAACCAATTAAGCAATTTTGTGTTTATGTGATAATTATTGCCAGCATAAATGATCTCGTTAATTGCTTTAATTTGTTAGCAGTTTCCAAACTTACAATTTTTTTTCATAGTATTAACCAAAACCTTTGGGAAATTTTCAATAAAGTTTGGAAAGATACTGCAATGAAAGATTCCATTACCTCTGCAAATTCATCTCATTTTCTATTCTGTGGGATATTTCTGCAGCTGCTCAACTTCTGTTGAATATTTCTTGAATGCTTTAAAGACTACAAGAGATTCAAACATGATTTATTCTGTAGAGTAACTGGTTCTTATCAAAAACACCATTCTTCATTTTCCTCTGTGTATGGCAAATTTTATTTTTAAAAGATTTATCATTTTCTTTTTGCCAAATGCCATATAATCATTTTTATTCAATTTCATGAAGTAAATTGCTATCATTATCCTTATTGCCAGATAAAGAAACCAAGAAACTCAGAGTTCAAGTAATTGTCCAAAAATCACATAGAACTCCAAATCCCTTCCTTATGAAAGAGTTATTTATCTAGGAAGCAGTATCTTGTGGGGTTTTATTTTTTTATATAAATTAATTATTTTTGGCTGCGTTGGGTCTTCGTTGCTGCGTGCGGACTTCCTCTAGTTGCAACAACGGGGGCTACTCTTCATTGTGGTGCACGGGCTTCTCATTGCAGTGGCTTGTCTTTGTTGTGGTACATGGGCTCTAGGGGCGTGGGCTTCAGTAGTTGTGGTGTGCGGGCTCAGTAGTTGTGGCAGGAGGGTTTAGTTGCTATGTGGCATGTGGGATCCTCCCAGACCAGGGCTCGAACCCGTGTCCTCTGCATTGGCAGGCGGATTCTTAACCACTGTGCCACCAGGGAAGTCCCTCTCATGGGTTTTTAAATTAACAGACCCCATGATATTTAATGTAGATGATCTACATTATAGACTAATTTTTTAAGTCAATAATTAGATCAAGAATTTAGCCCCCAATTATGCTGAGTGTGTACAAGTAACAACTCAGTGCTGCTAGTTCTACTCCATCATCATCTTTATCATCAAAATACACTTAATTAAGCATCTAGCTCTGGACCTTCCATAGCAGAAACTGAAATAAGCCAAAGCTTTAGACCCTTCTTTTGGAAGTGTTTCAAAGCTGTGAGTGAGCATCAGTATTCTGTTACAGACCCCAACTACTGCCTAAACCTATTTCTCAACTCCCACTCCTCACGTCTACCAAATATGCCAGAAATTGAAGTAGGAGCTTGCCACATACGATTTCAAGTACTTGAGGTATTCCCTGACCTCATTCTAAAGATTTTATATATTATATATATATATAAATCTTTTAACTAATTGCATAACTAACAACCAATATTAAAATGCAAATAACCCTGGGAAGAGTTAAGTTTTAAGGCACAGGCTTTTGGCTACTGGAGTAAAAAAAAGTCAGTGCCACTTAGTGGCATTTTAATAGCCAAGCAATTTTTTAGGAAGATGGTAGTGGGGTAGACTGAAAAGATTAATAGATGTAAAGTCAAAAGACCTGGCTCCTACTCCCCTTTATCCTCTCTATGCCTTTGTTTTTCTTCCACAAAATGATGGCATTGAACTAGCTAGTCTCTAAGGACTCTTTCAGCTCTAGCTTTCTATTATTTTTTTTATTATTTTAATTCATATGTTTTAATTCACTATGTAACAATAATATCACAGTCTATTTTACAAGTTAAATGTATGAGAATGTATGAAATAGAAATGGTAGGAAAAAACTAAACGTGGGTCAGGAACTTGAATTTTCCCAAAACCAGGGGCCAAAGGAAGATGTGTTGCCTTCAGGGCCCAAGAAGGAGGCAGGGAGGGTGATGGGAACAGCTTGTGGCATGTGTTTGTCCCCGTGTCTACTCCAAGAAGGAGTTGAGGCATGCCCTCTGCCCTGGCCTGGGATTGGGAGTTTAATCTGGTCAATTGAAGATGGTGGCTTGAGAGAAAAAAGCCATCTGGTACCTACACAGAGCTGGTCCCCTGGTGGCCGCAGGTGGGTTTTGCCATAGAGGGAATTAGGGGTGGAAGTGTCAAAAATCAAATGTATAGAGGAAAAAAGTAAACAGTTTCCTCCTTCCCCCTAAAAAAATGAATTCTTGAAATGCACACATATTCTTCTCTCAAACGTAGAAAAGTCTCACTCTGGATGTGCTTACAAGAAGATTGTCGTCAAAAAACTTTGTCTCTATGATAACATTTCCAGTTAGCACGCTGGCTGGCATCATCTGGGACTTGGGCACTGCCTCTATCAGGGATTGCCAGGTGTTTGTGGAGTTAGGGATCACAGAGCCAAACTCAAAGAACCATTCTTCTAGGCATTGCCCTTTGAAGTAAACTTTTTGTTCCAGGCGGAATTTTTCCATTTGCTCCGCTGAAGAGAAGTTCAATTCTCGAGACACTGCCTTGCACTCGAGGATTTTCTTGGGAACACGGGCTTCATGCTCCACTCCAGGGCCTGACAGGTCTTCTGTTCCTTGCCAGAGTATCTTCCCTGTCTCAGCATCCTGAAGGTTCATCCAATTTAGTTTGAAGCCCCTCAGGATCTCCCTGGCCCGCTCGCCCTTGGTTGACATGATGCGGCGGCCGCCGCCTGCGGCTCTCCCACGCTGGCCCGGTGGAGCCTCGTAGACTGTGCCCAGGAGCTAAGGACTGAGCCGCATCCCGGCCTGCAGACCTCGGGCGAGCAGCGGCAGAGTCCAGACTCGGACCGGCCTCTTTCCCCTCAGTTCCGGCTCCTGATCCCTTCTCCTTCCTAGCTTTCTATTATTTTACACTTAACAGCAAGAACATACTAGACGTTCGTTACAATAATGTTCTTTAAAAGGAAAAATTGGAAATTAGTTCAACGTTCATCACAATGGAACTGATGAAATCAAGTATAGTGGGTATACACACACGTATAAATTCTATGTAGCCAGTTAAGTGATGATATGGTTTTATATTTATTGATAAAGACGTCATGACATACTGTTGTTTTTTTTAAAAGTAGCCATCAAATAATTTCCATTTGACTAAGGAATAAAGCATTTTATATAAGGAAGGATACTCCTAAAAATCTCAAGTTATTTCTAGATGGTGGGATTAAGAGTAATTCTTACTTCCTTCTCTATTTTTCTATGATGTTTGGGTATTTATACATATAGAACATTTTCATAATAAGCAACAAAGTTATTTCGTTTTGGGGGAAATATAGTTAAATATAAGCAGCAAATATTAATTCCTTTCCTACGAGCAAGTTTTGGTAGAGAAGAGGGCCAGGGCAAGGACAAAACAGCAGTGAACTAAAGGAAAACAGTACCTGAGGGCTTCCCTGGTGGCGCAGTGGTTGAGAGTCCGCCTGCCGATGCAGGGGACACAGGATCGTGCCCCGGTCTGGGAGGATCCCACGTGCCGCGGAGCGGCTGGGCCCGTGAGCCATGGCCGCTGAGCCTGCGCGTCCGTCCGGAGCCTGTGCTCCGCAACGGGAGAGGCCACAGCAGTGGGAGGCCCATGTACCGCAAAAACAAACAAACCAACCAAAAAAAAACAATGCCTGAATATTTTCATCAACAACTCAGATAATGAAATAAATGTGTGCCATGAAGGTAAAAAACAGCCCTTGTTACACAAATTGGGCACAGCTGATCTGTTTTTCTCCATCATCTCAGTCATCACGTGTTGGAGGCGGATTTGCCTGACCCATGCTCCCTCCCTTACCAGTCCATCCCACGCACAAGGGGAAGATTTATCAAGCCATCAGACTGGCCCAATCCAAGGCTAACCGTCTTATGACAAGATTAATCCCATAACTTTGTGTTCTTTACTACTCGTGCTTTATTTGAGTTTCTTAAGGTTGCCTAATCAATCTTGATATTTATCAATTTTCGCTCAACTTTGAAAAAATGCAGAATTATTAGAAAGATTAAATCAAAGAGGGATTCATACATACTGAGTCAGCAAAGGAGGAAGAATAAGCTTCCTAAATAGAAAATGGTAACTAACAGTTTTGACCCAAGTAGAAAACAGGTAGGAAAACAAAATCTTGTGGGAGACCATAAATTAAATACAGGTCAACACTGAAGTTGTCATTCAAAAAGTGTGAGGTGTGGCTGCCACACCCAGTAGGAGGCTCTCACCAAGAGCTACACTTCTAATGCACCCTACTTGAGGGATCCTTCTCTTGCCAACTTGAATTTATTAGTTCCATGTTATTTGCTTGCCACCAATTGCATCGTGTCTTCTGTGCTAAAATTAAATTCCTTGATTCAATTTGGGGTCAATGGCTGTATAGCTTAACTATCCAGAAGCTAGAGGGGGCACCTGAGAGGAGCTACGCTCACAAGGAAGACAGTTTCTAAGGTTCAGACCACAAGCAGCTCAGGAAGTCAACTGGTCTTTGCCTGCTGTAAGTTCTAGAGGTATGTAGGGACCATGGTGGGAAACTGTAAGTGGAATCACCTTAAGTCAAAGACAGCCTATATAGAATTAAGGATAGTATTTTTTATGAATGTATTTATTATTTCTTTTATTTATCATATTCTGCTTCTTGAAAGAATTTTTTTTAAGTCCTAATCAGATTAGATTTTTTTTTCTTTTTGCTGCACATGTGGGATCTTAGTTCCTACACCAGGGATCAAATCCATGCCCCCTGCAGTGGAAGCGCTAAGTCTTAACAACTGGACTGCCGGGAAGTCACCCTGAAAGAATTTTTTTTTTTTTTACATCTTTATTGGAGTATAATTGCTTTGCAATGGTGTGTTAGTTTCTGCTTTATAACAAAGTGAATCAATTATACATATACATATGTTCCCATATCTTTTCCCTCTTGCATCTCCCTCCCTCCCACCCTCCCTATCCCACCCCTCCAGGCGGTCACAAAGCACGGAGCTGATCTCCCTGTGCTATGCGGCTGCTTCCCACTAGCTATCTACCTTACGTTTGGTAGTGTATATATGTCCATGCCTCTCTCTTGCTTTGTCACAGCTTACCCTTCCCCCTCCCCATATCCTCAAGTCCATTCTCTAGTAGGTCTGTGTCTTTATTCCTGTCTTGCCCCTAGGTTCTTCATGACATTTTTTTTTCTTAAATTCCATATATATGTGTTAGCATACAGTATTTGTCTTCCTCTTTCTGACTTACTTCACTCTGTATGACAGACTCTAGGTCTATCCACCTCATTACAAATAGCTCAATTTTGTTTCTTTCTATGGCTGAGTAATATTCCATTGTATATATGTGCCACATCTTCTTTATCCATTCATCCGATGATGGACACTTAGGTTGCTTCCATCTCCGGGCTATTGTAAATAGAGCTGCAATGAACATTTTGGTACATGACTCTTTTTGAATTATGGTTTTATCAGGGTATATGCCCAGTAGTGGGATTGCTGGGTCATATGGTAGTTCTATTTGTAGTTTTTTAAGGAATCTCCATACTGTTCTCCATAGTGGCTGTACCAATTCACATTCCCACCAGCAGTGCAAGAGTGTTCCCTTTTCTCCACACCCTCTCCAGCATTTATTGTTTCTAGATTTTTGGATGGTGGCCATTCTGACTGGTGTGAGATGATATCTCATTGTAGTTTTGATTTGCATTTCTCTAATGATTAATGATGTTGAGCATTCTTTCATGTGTTTGTTGGCAGTCTGTATACCTTCTTTGGAGAAATGTCTATTTAGGTCTTCTGCCCAGTTTTGGATTGGGTTGTTTGTTTTTCTGATATTGAGCTGCATGAGCTGCTTATAAATTTTGGAGATTAATCCTTTGTCAGTTGTTTCATTTGCAAATATTTTCTCCCATTCTGAGGGTTGTCTTTTGGTCTTGTTTATGGTTTCCTTTGCTGTGCAAAAGCTTTGAAGTTTCATTAGGTCCCATTTGTTTATTTTTGTTTTTATTTCCATTTCTCTAGGAGGTGGGTCAAAAAGGATCTTGTTGTGATTTATGTCATAGTGTTCTGCCTATGTCTTCCTATAAGAGTTTGGTAGTTTCTGGCTTTACATTTAGGTCTTTAATCCATTTTGAGCTTATTTTTGTGTATGGTGTTAGGGAGTGATCTAATCTCATACTTTTACATGTAGCTGTCCAGTTTTCCCAGCACCACTTATTGAAGAGGCTGTCCTTTCTCCACTGTACATTTCTGCCTCCTTTATCAAAGATAAGGTGACCATATGTGCGTGGGTTTATCTCTGGGTTTTCTATCCTGTTCCATTGATCTATCTTTCTGGTTTTGTTCCAGTACCATACTGTCTTGATTACTGTAGATTTGTAGTATAGTCTGAAGTCAGGGAGCCTGATTCCTCCAGCTCCGTTTTTTGTTCTCAAGATTGCTTTGGCTATTCGGGGTCTCTTGTGTTTCCATACAAATTGTGAAATTTTTTGTTCTAGTTCTGTGAAAAATGCCATTGGTAGTTTGATATGGATTGCACTGAATCTGTAGATTGCTTTGGGTAGTAGAGTCATTTTCACAATGTTGATTCTTCCAATCCAAGAACATGGTATATGTCTCCACCTGGTTCTTTGAGAAGATAAACAAAATTGATAAACCATTAGCCAGACTCATCAAGAAAAAAAGGGAGCAGACTCAAATCAATAGAATTAGAAATGAAAAAGGAGAAGTAACAACTGACACTGCAGAAATACAAAAGATCATGAGCGATTACTACAAGCAACTCTATGCCAATAAAATGGACAACCTGGAAGAAATGGACAAATTCTCAGAAATGCACAACCTGCCAAGACTGAATCAGGAAGAAATAGAAAATATGAACAGACCAATCACAAGCACTGAAATTGAAACTGTGATTAAAAATCTTCCAACAAACAAAAGCCCAGGACCAGATGGCTTCACAGGCGAATTCTATCAAACATTTAGAGAAGAGCTAACCAGCTATCCTTCTCAAACTCTTCCAAAATATAGCAGAGGGAGGAACACTCCCAAACTCATTCTATGAGGCCACCATCACCTTGATACTGAAAGAATTTTTGAGGACGTTCTTGCATTTTATTTACCAAAGCAGCTTGAGGTATTAATCTTCTCTTCCCAAGCAGACTGTATAATTCCTGATACCTAAAAGCACGTCTTTAGTTTCTTTTCAATTGCCCAAGGTGCCTAAACAGTGATAGATGAACATACATACAAATAATACTGAAGACTGTAATAATCAGCTTAAGTACATAATTGCTACTGGTTACTTTAATTCGTAAAGCCATGTTCAGATTCTAGCTCTTCTCCTGGATCCCACAGAAGACGTGGTGACCATAGGGTGACCATATGTCCCACCTTACTTAAGTCAATCGTGGTTTACACTTGTCCTGGCAGAATCATTAATAGTGTTACTTTGCACTCTCAAAAATGCACAAATTATGTAATAACACTATTGATCACGCATCTGTAAGGGGCTTCCCAGTAAATTCCAACATACAAAAAGTAATCTGTCTTTAGCAGTAAGTGAAAGCTTTGTGACAAAAGATGACCACAATGTTTACTTTGGATTACCTAAATATTACATTACTAATTGCTATTTCCTAAGACAGTTTATCTCTATATAAATTTGTCAACTCTGCCCTCTACTGTCTTAAAATAGAATTATGACATCATGCAGATAGCACTATTTTGGCTTCATTGATTGAAGCTGATTGTGTTGGTCCTGTTGATTACTTTAGACGGCTGGTCCTCAACTTTGCCTGTCACTATATTAGCTTTTAAAGATCTGCACTGCCTAAACCCCACCCCCAACCAATTAAATCAGAACCTTCGGTGATGAGACC